TATATATATATATATTCCTATATACACTGTACTCATATGTAAATTAATTTAAAGCTTTAAAGGAGATGTAGGAAGCTATAAGCTCATGTTTAAACTTTAATATACTGCAAGAAGGCAAGATTGATTTCTTAGATGTGAAATGTTTCTAATAATAATAATAGATCTTTTTTATTTTTCAAAGTCAATATGTATTCTTTAGCACTTGCCTCTCAAAGAACAACACACTCTTAAACAAGGTGGATATTTAGGATTTTACTGTAAGAAACAGACTGATAAGGTTAATTATAGGTAATTATATTGATCTCATCCTTATTTTCATTTTCAGAATTGTTACTCACAACCTCCTGAATCCGACAGAATGACCTAAAAAATCAAAACATTCCTCACAAACTAAAAACATGACCTGATATAACTTGATAACTGCAGCGACAATCTGGTTGCTGTGTGATATCATCACTGTCGCTGACATCATACTGCACCGCATGTGCCAGATAATGTCACCAGGACTCGGGTCCTTTGTGCTACGATTGATCCGTCTGTGTTTGTATCTCAGCAGGGCTCCATTGATGGCATCTTGCAGTGGGCTTTCCACAACATGTCTCGACCCCTTCCAGACTCTCACGGATGCTACCAGTAACAGACAGACGATCATCCATGCTCTAGGTTATACTGTACAGTAACAGTAATAAACTAAACATAAATAATTAAATGGAGATTTCTTAATATATTAGAGATTATGTTCTTGTTTCCTGCAATGCCTGAAGTATTATTTTGTTTTTTAATTGATTTTAAGTGAAAACATTGCATCTAAGTACAGTTTTTGAAGAAAGTGTTCAGGTGATTGTGATGTACAACAGCTGCTATAATAAACTGTAGCAGAAGAGTTGTGAATATCTCTGTCTGGAGCTGGTGTGAAACTGTCTCATCCTGCATGTTAGCTGCACAGCAACATCATAGCTGACATTAGTTACATTACGTGTTCTTGTTGTTCATCTCATACCCCAGCTTTAAATTTTGCAGGTGGGCTCCTTCTGACCCTCCATCTGTTCCCATTAAGCCCAGTACAACCAGTACTCCTTTGCTGGAATAATACTTAATTTGTGTTAGTTTGTAGAACTTCAACTACACACAGTTGTATTTATGCACCATGTGAGTAATGTATATCATAAAATAATATATAGATTATATACTATAATAGTAAACATCAGGCCTTCTAAAGGACGTGCTTTAGTTGATAATGTACTAGTACAAATTAGCCATTAATGAAATTACCAAAACCAACGGTCAGGCAGTGAACCTGGGACTTTCAGGGTCCCCGAGGATCTGGGGTTGCCTGCTTCATCCGGTTGGTAGTTTAATTCAGGGTTGTTGTGATGCTTCCTCTCTGAAAAAAGAACAGAGAATGTGGAGCAATTGTAGGTTTTTCTCACCATCTCATTGTCACCCTAATCCTCACACCATCATATTTTACTTGTAAGACTTTTTCTGTGTAGCATCACATCATGGCTGAATAGGTGTCAGCACTGATGTGGGTGGGCTGGCAGTGGGCGTTGGACTCTGCTCAGGCCAAACATTTGCTAACTCGGCCTAACAAACTCAAATACAGTTTTTAAGGTTGTCATCAGCCCACCACTGCAAAACCCAGTGATTCATATGTATGTATTTTTCTAGTTTTAGCTGTGTTTTTCATGTGTTTTCGTGTGTGTGTGAATGTGTTTATATCTTGAAGAGAGCAGTGTTAAAACAATAAAAAATAATACATCTTATTTATACAGCACAAGGTTATACTGTACCCCTGAATACAATGAATTACAATAATCTAACCGAGATTATATAAAAGTGCGAATTACCTTCTTGAGATCAGGATGAGGAAAATACCAGATTTTTCAGATCCTCCTAAATTGATAAAAACATGAATTACAAAAACACTGCCTGCATTTTACATTTGTAGACAGGCAGCCAAGATGCTTTTGTAATATGAGGATAGACTTTAGAGGACCAAAAACAATGGATTTCACATTTGTTTTGATTTAGCTGGAGAAAGTTTTAGGACATCCACACCTTTATTTCTGACAAGTTAATAACTGGTGGACATTGTTGGAGGAGATCGTGTACTTTCTAGTTTGACATCAGCACCCAGGCTGTAACTGCACTAACAGAGACAATGCAAACTTCCACGTGTGCACAAAGACAAAGAAATATTTCTCTCACTGTGTGGACCTGTAGAAGAATTTACATTCACACGTTATACCAGATGGTTTCAATACAATGAGGTATGCACGCTGAGAAATGCCTCTGTTTAAGAGGAATTCCTTGAAGACTATCACTTAGATGTGGAATGTTGTTTTTGTCATGGGATTCGAGAGTTTAAGCATGACTGCCAGAGGGATGGAGCCCGGCCAGGCAGCTCACAGATTTTTCTCCCCTCGGTATTTGGTTGCTATGGCTCCTAGCTCCTACAGGCCCAAAACAGAGGAGGAGGAGAAGAAACATGCAGTGTGTGTATATCTGTGCATGTGTGTCTCTGTTTGTTTATGAATCCACTTTTCTAAATGGTTCATGAAACATCCTGCATACTTGAGAGGTCTGTGTCCTTGCAGGGAAAGCAGCATCACTGAAGGAGAGACAACCCGTTTTCCTTAAATATTTGAGATATGAGGGAGAAAAATCTAATGATGTTTTATGCAATGAGATAAATATATCTGACATAAATTGGTGTCAAAGTGTGTGTAAATAGCAGTAAGTTAACACTTCTACGCTATGATTTCCTGTCTTTAATTTGTAATTTCAGTCCTAATGATTTCTGACTGAGGAGGATATTTTGCATAAAAATCTGTTTACATTATTTATTTCACTGTGTAGGTTTTAATCATGCTCTACTATCACGCAGCTTTCTTCTCATTCTAGTGGAAGACCACATGGAAAAAGTGATACATATCCCAAGAGCTCTCTCTCTCTTTTCAAAAGGAAAACTTTCTCACCACTAGGTGGCATCCATCTGTGATTGATGTAGTAAAACAGAGTCAGAGTATTTCACTGAGCCATGATTGTTAAGTAACCATCACAATGTGACAAGAGGAAGTATTTCCTTTGACTATGAAGAATATCTTTGTGTTTGTATAGCAGGAAATTCTCAGATTTCATTAGAACAAAAGGAATTCATCATAACTATTTCCAACACAAACAAATTATATGGCATTAAAAATGGAGCATGAAGAGAATATGTCTTGGTTTTCTTCACAAAGACCAGGGCTGGAAATTACAGTTACAAGTACAATTACTCAAGTAGACCTCGCTTACCTACAATTCTGAGGTACTTTACTTGAGAATTTCCATTTTATGCTACTTTATGCTTCTATTTCACTCAGAGGGAAATATTGTACTTTTGACTCAACTGGATTAGTTGACAACTGCAGTTTTTAAGAAGATCAACATTTTATATACAAAGCACATGATCATCTCATGATGATCAAAATGCTGCATACACATTGATGCATCAGTAATATTAACATACCACTATGGAATGGGCCATCCTGCTGTTGTACCTTTACTTTTGATTCTTAAAGATCATTTTGCTCCTAAAACTTCTACTTAAGTAAAATTATGAACGCTTACTTGTAAAGGATCTTGACACAGACCTTACCTGGCATACGGCTCTTTTTCTCTGCACTGCTGCTTCTTGCTGATTTTTTAAAACTATGATCTAATAATAAAAAGTAAGATGGTCACTTTTTTAACTACTTAGATAAAACAAACATGAGTGATAACATTTAGACGTCAGAGTGCAAAAAAGGTTAAATATCTTTTGTGTATTCACATGGACGTTTGTTATGTACTCCAAAGTATGTTATGTACTAAATAGTTCTGTGTTGTGAGGCTGATTCCCATCTTATCTTCTCTGTTATCTTACATGTCTTATTTCCTGCCACACTGCATTCCTATATGATGTCTAATGAGGCAGAAATGTCACAAGGGTTATCAAGAGTATGAAGAGTGTGTTGTGTAACATCTCTGTCATCATGTATGTACTTTCGCCTAATGCTGTTTAAAGAAATAGTGAGACATTTTGGGAAATAAACCCACTTGCTTTCTTGCCAAGAATTAGATAAGAGAGGGTTCCCACGAGTCCTGGAAAACCTGGATGATGACCAAATATCTTGGAAATAATCAATGTTTTTTACTGTATTTTATCCTGTCCTGTGGCCAAATTAATACTACAGTTGGGGAAAAGCTGTAGTCAATAGACCTTTTCACATCAGAGATTTTGACAAGAAATAGTAGGGTAAACACAGGTGTTACCATTGATATTGATTAAGGTTGTGTTCCATTTAGGTCAAACAGAGTCAGGGGGCATGTTGGCTCACTGGAAAACACAAAATGGAACAGAGCCTTTGTTGATATCGTTGGTAACAACTTTGTTTACCTTACTATTTCACATCAAAAAGGCTGCTGTGAAAAATGTCTATTCAGAAAAATTGGCTGTGGTGAGAACAGCCAAGCACACCAAGAGCGAGCTAAAATGTGTCCCATAAACGATGACCACCGTTTGTGAGCAAGCAAAACTCCTGTAAAATGATTTCTTTAAAAGAGTGTAACCCTATAACAGGATTTTTACACTTTGTAAACAAATGTACGGTTAGCTTAGCTTAGCACAAAGACTGGAAAAAGGGGAAACAGCTAGCATGTTTTATCTTTCTTGTTCAATCGATGCAGAGCCTCAAATTAAAAACGTGTTTTTTGGGGGATGAGTAAGTCCAGCAGTTGGTCCCAGCTAAGAAATAGTCTGGCACATAACCTGTAAAACGTCAAATTATTCCTTTAAAGACTTAAATACACAAAATTTGAATGAGGTAACTGGGAGAGAAAATAAAAAATAATATAACACATTCAAGGTACTCATGTTACAGGTCCGTAAATTACTCAGTTTCATCAGGCTGATGAATAAATTATTTATTATTAAACTTATTGTGGGACACAGAGTGGTTCTGAGATGACTGTTTCATGTGTGGGAAGTGAGTGAGCAAGAGTTAAATATGTATATATTAGTAAGACACTTTAAACACCCAGTTTTCTGTGTCAGTGTGAAAAGGTTAAATTCTTCAAACACACACACACATCCTGTTTCAACTCACAGGCCTGGAATCCTTTGGAAAAATATGATAGGTGAAATTCCCACGCTTTGGGCATCCTCTTTTCACATTTTTTGGCACTTCATAAGTGTGGGCAGTGGTGTGAGGGTTACTAGAGAGGTAAAGCCTACGCGACTTCCAGTCAGGACCCTTCACTCTTTGTTCATACTATTGTTGTGGGCAGGAAACTGCGAGAGGCCCTCCATTGTGCTGGCACAAGGTTTCAGAGCAGAAAGTGTTATTTCTTTGAACCATGGAGAAATAACAGCACATGGCCCTGAAAGAAACTTTGAACGTTGTTTCCAGTGTAACTAAAGGTTTATTTGCTTTTATTCAAGGAAAATTATTCTCTTTTGAATATTCGCAGGTTACAATTACATGAACATTCGTGCACACCAGACTGTCTTACTGTTTTTTGACCTTTAATGAGAAACTTTTTCAAAATATGTTCATGTTTTCATGAGTGTATAATCACCTGAAAATGTTTGTCAAATGGGTTTTTGTAACCTTAGAAAGAGCCGTTTCTATCTACAGAGGGAGCATATTGAACTGCTCCCTCTGCCATGTTTCTACAGTAGCCCAGAATGGGCAAACCAAGGAAAGGGTGTTGTAATCTACAACTAAACAACTAAATCCTACAACATTTAGGAGGATCTATTGGGAGAAATGTAATAAAAATATGCATCAGTATTTTTTCATTAGTGT